AGTGGAGCTGTGGCTCACATGGTCAAGGGCCAGCCATGAGCCAAAAGGCCCAGGGACAAAGCCCAGGCTCTAAATTCAAGACCCAGGATTGGTCCTAGAACTCAGGGCCTAGGTTTTGTCCCTGAACTTTTCTGCCCAAGGCTGGCGCTCTACCACTTGCACCACAGCTGGACTTCTCGTGACCAGATGCCTCACCCTGCAATTTCAAGAAAAAGCACTTTCTCCAGTGTTTGGGTCTAGACAAGGTACCACCTTTTCCCGGTCCTCCCTGGCTGGGCCTGCCTTCCTGGAGAAAACCGTCTGGGACGGGGACACTGCAGGGCCCACAGGGGCCTCCCAGGACCTCTGCCACTCAAGGGGGCTTGGGGGTCCCCGGGAATGCTCTTTGACTTCTGCCGGACCCAAGAAAGGCACATGGCCTGGGGCAGGGCACCGTGGCTCACGCCTGTAATCCCGGCTAGTCAGGAGGCTGAGATCTGAGGATCGTGGTTGGAGGCCAGCCTGGATGGGAGAAGTTGGCGAGGCTTTTTTCTCCAAGGAAACTCTCTCTCTCTCCAAATGTTTATACCAAAGTTTAGAGGAAATTCAAGGATGGGATTTAGAATGAAGGGGTCTTGAACTCAGGGCCTGGGCGCTGTCCCTCAGCTCTTCAGCTCAAGGCCGGCGCTCTACCACTTGAGCCACAGCGCTACTTCTGGTTTTCTGGTGGTTCATGGGAGATCAGAGTCTCCTGGACTTTCCTGCCCAGGCTGGCTTTGAACCGGGATCCTCAGATCTCAGCCTCCTGAGTAGCTAGGATGACAGGGGGGAGCCACTGGTACCCCAGATCTTATATGGATAATTTTGTCTGATTGTAATGAAGCCATAATTATCCAATGTTAAAAAAAATGGGCGGCTGGGTAGGTGGCTCAGTGGTGGAGCGCTCGCCTCGCATGCATGAAGCCCTGGGTTCCATTCCCCAGTACCACAGACACAGAAAAAGCCAGAAGTGGCGCTGTGGCTCAAGTGGTAGAGCACCAGCCTGGAGCCAAAGAAGCTCAGGGACAGCGCCCAGGCCCTGAGTTCAAGTTCCAGGACTGGCAAAAAAAAGAAAAGAAAAGAAAAAAAGAGGCCAAGTACTGGTAATCCTAGCTACTCAGGAAGCTGAGACCTGAGGATCACAGTTCGAAGCCAGCCTGGGCAGGCAAGTTCCCCTGAGACTCGTGTCTCCAATGAACCACTCAAAAACCAGGAGTTGCTGGGCACCGGTGGCTCCCGCCTTAATCCCAGCGACTCAGGAGGCTGAAATCTGAGGATCTGGGTTCAAAGCCAGCCGGGGCAGGAAAGTCTGTGAGACTCTGATCTCCCATGAACCACCAGAAAACCGGGAGTGGCGCTGTGGCTCAGGTGGTAGAGCGCCCGCCTTGAGCTGAAGAGCTGAGGGACAGCGCCCAGGCCCCGAGTTCAAGCCCCAGCCCTGGCAAAATCACTAAACCAAAACAACAAAACATAGACCTTCCCTATGAGCCAGCATAGCACGTGTGGGCATCTACCCTGGCCATCCCCAGCCGGGATGTGACACAGACATCTGCTAGCTTGTTCTCCTCCATTTTGGCTTGCCAGCCTCCATTTTCGATCCTCACCCCTTTCCCTGAACCTCCGCTGGTCAGCTCAGGCCTAGCTACAAGGGTTAACCCGCATGGGTCTCGATACTCCACCTATCTCTGGCCTCCAGCTGCACCCACAAAATGCTGCGTGGCCAGGCCTGATTGCAGCTGCTGATCTGCCCCACCCACCTGCTACGTTCAACACCCACCTGCAACCAGAGTGCTCCCCGCCCCCCCCCAAAACCCCTGCTCCTGTGGTCCCCAGATGGAGGTGAGCATTACTGACATCTTCCTGTCAATGTAGAGGGACCTTGACTTTGATGGCAGAATAAGAATTTCTGGAAGCCGGGCGCTGTAGCTCCCGCCTGTAACCCCAGCGACTCAGGAGGCTGAGATCCTGAGGATCGAGGTTCACAGCCAGCCCAGGCTAGGAAAGTCCTTGAGACTCTGATCTCCAGTGAACCACCAGACAGAAAACAGGAAGTGGCTCTGTGGCTCAAGGGGTAGATCAACAGCCTGGAGCATAAAGAAGCTCAGAGACAGCGCCCAGGACCAGAGTTCAAGCCCCATGTCTGACAAAAGCAAAGATAGATGCTTTGTCTTTGCTGTGATCACACCCGGTGTTCGTTTTGGAGTGTCCAGATGAGCATGCTTACCACAGAATTTTATCCTCAGATAAGGGGGTGTTCTGCTACCTGCCTTTTGGGGTGAGATGTGGCTTAATTTTGGGGGGAACATTTTTTCAAGAAGGCATGCATCCTGTCAGACGAGTGTGCACGGCCTGGGCGCTGTCCCTGAGCTTCTTTGACTCCAGGCTGGTGCTCTACCCCTTGAGCCACAGCGCCACTTCGGGCTTTTTCTGTGTATGTGGCGCTGAGGATTCGAACCCAGGGCTTCATGCATGCGAGGCGAGCTCGCTCTACCACTGAGCCACCTGCCCAGCCCCTAAATACTGTATTTTTGACTAGCTTTCATTGGTTCCTTGGCTCACGGTCCTTCCTGCCTGGGGTGGTTTTGAACTAGGATCCTCAGATCACAGATTCCTGAGTAGCTGGGATTACAGGCGGGAGCCACGGGGCCCGGCTAACCTTAACTTTGAATAGACAGGTGTGGTGAAGCACTTCACCTGAGCCTCTAGGGGCCCTTGGTCTGCCTATTTATTATCTGACTCAGAGACCAAAGTCCTCAGTTCCTATCTTAGAGAAACTCCCTTTTCCAATAGGGCTTGGAAATGAAAATTAAAACCTCAGCATGGACACAGGAAGAGGAGAATGAAATATCCTGACCAGAAAACAGGAAACTTTACTAGAGAAACTCATTGTTCTTCTTCCTCTTTTCTCTGCATTAAAAAAAAAAAAAAATGGCCAGGAGCCAGAGGCTGGTAGCTCCCGCCTGGAATCCCAGCTACTCGGGAGGCTGAGATCTGAGGATCGTGGTTCAAGGCCGGCCCAGGCAGGAAAGTCTGTGAGACTCTGATCTCCACTGACCAAGTCAAAAAAAACCACAAGTGGTGCTGTGGCTCACAGGGTAGAGCGCCAGCCTTGAGCACAAAGAGGCTCAGGGGCAGCGCCCAGGCCCTGAGTTCAAATCCCACCGACGGACAACAGCCAGGACAAAAAGACAGAAGTAGAGTTGTGGCTTAAGTGGTAGAGCAAGAAGAATCCAAGTGAGAGTTCAAAGCCTGAGTTCAAGTCTCAACACCAGCACACACACACACACACACACACACACACACACACACACAGCGTGATTGTGTATTTCCCCATTGCAAAATTGCCTTTTGTTTCCTGATTCTTGCATCAAATTCAAGTCACACATCCTCTAAGTTTGTTTCTTTTTCTAGAACAAGGCCGGGACCTCTTCCTCCTCCTCCTCCTCTTCCTCCTCCTCCTCCTC